TGGGATCCGACCGCTGGAGATAGATGATGATATTTAAATTTTTAATTTTTTTTTTTTTTGTTTTCCTGTTGGTTTGTTTTTTTTTTTTTTATTAACAAAATTTATTAAAGTCATTCGAAGGTTGTGCTTTTTCCAGCGATTAAAATGATAGGAAAATAATGATAATAATTTAACGACGATTGTAATTTGCCTTTTCGTCCCATTGAAATCGTCACCCTCACCTTACTCCCCCCCGCTTTTTTTTTTTGTTTTTGATCCCGGAAAAATAATTATTTACAAATAATTTGTGTCGTGAAAATTACGCTTATGTGTATGCGTGTATGCGTGTGCGCGTGCGTGTAACAAACACGATGCGATCGGTGGTGCCAGAGTGACTAATATGTACATATGTATTTACGTAATTTTTTTTTCTTTTTTTTTTTAATAATAGTTTGTTTTTTTTTTTTTTTTGTTGTTGTTGTGAAAATGGCGAGTTTTGTTTTTTTAAGTTTTTGTTTATTATTAATAATTAACAAAAAAAAAAACAAACAAACCGAGACTAAAAATTTTTATTTTTTTTTTTATAGAAAACATTGGCCGAAATTAAATTTTGTTATGTATGTGCTTAATTAAAGTTATCTCAATGGCTGTGAAATTGTTTTTAAAAAAAAAGACGGGGAAATTTTTTCCCCGCCCTCATTTTTCCCTGCTTTACGTTGTTATCTTATACCGGAAAAAGAAGACTCTAAAAGACGGGAAGTTGCGAGCGCGTTTATCGTTTCCGGTTTAAAACAAAAAAGACTCGTTGCCAAGTTGGAAAATTTTTTTTTGCTGCGGTTTACTTCGAAAATTATTTATTTTTTTATTAGAATTAAACAATTTTAAGCGATTGAGATAGCTTTAAAAATCCGCCATTTTGTTGTAATTAATTATTTTGACATTTTTTTTTTTTTTTTGAATGTGTTTTTTTTTTTTTTTTTTTTTTTTTCATAAATAATTTACATAAAGTAGGACGAAAGACTACTTTTACTACGTTATTTAAAAAAAAAAAAAAAGCTGCTTCTGTATTTTTTTTTTTTAATTTACAATTTCAACATGAATTTTTTTTTTTTTTTGGGGGGGGGAACATTGTTCGGGGCAAAATTGTAAAACCCCCCCATGAAGGCCTTGCTTCATTCTGAGAAATTTATTTATTTATTTATTTATTGGTTTTTTTTTTTTGATTATTTATTTATTTAATTTTATAAAAATTAAATTTAAGGGACGGCGTTAGTTAAAATTTTCAAGCTTTTGTAAAATTCCTTCGTTTATTTATGGGTGGCTTTTATTTATTTATTTATTT